CAGGGGATGGTCAGAACAGGCTGGAATCAGGCTACAGTGGCCCGTGCATGATAATCTCCTCTGCTTCCAGGTGTCCTCAGTGGATGTTGGGTGCACTGCCATGCCACTCTGTAACCCAGGCCATTGCTCTTCTAAAAGCAGGAGACTTGAACTTTTAGCTGTGTGAGTTGTGCTGACACCAAATAGCTGAGACACAGATGGTTCAGTGGCAGAAACAGCAGCCTAAGGCACACAGACTGACTTGCTTGCTTTGGCATGTTCTTGCCATATGGCACTGAAGTCCTGTTCTATATGGAACAGGAGCCTCAGCTGCCCAAAAAGCCAGTCCTCCCTGTTGGGTGCTGTTGCAGTGCACCTGGGAGAGCTCCACTGAGGTACAGTGGTGGTGCAGGTCAGAAATGTCTCTGCTTAACACCCAGAAACAGAGACCTGCCGCTTTTCCCTAAGCTTGTGCAGAGCAGTTTTGGACAGCCATGGTGCTGGTGGCCTCGTTTACGTGGGGATGTGGGACACAGGCATTGCTCACCCAGGGGAACAACAGCGACACAGAACCTCAGAGTGACTTCAGCAGCAGGACCAGCCATGAAGGGGTCGCTGAAATGATTGTGGAGCACAGTGAAGCTGCCTTAACCTCAGCTGTGGTCACAGGGGATTTGTATGATTAGCTTAAGTCTGTGTTCATGGTGGGCCATTCCCTGTCCCTGACAATGGGAGGCAGCCCAGGCCTTAGCTCCAAGCCTTGAACATGGCTCTGCCAGGGGAGGAGCAGCACAGGATCCTCTGAGTGCTGTATATCCCTGCCCATGGCAGGGGGATTGGAACACGAGGATCTTTGAGGTCTCTTCTGACCCAAACCATTCCAAGATTCCATGTTGTCCTGAATGGGAAGGCTTTAGGTTTTGCACTGTTTTCTTTCTGTTTGAGGGAGGGGAATGGGTTTGGGTTCTAAGAAACAAACCAACACTAGTCTTAGAACAAAAGCAGTTCTGATTTTTCCCTAGTGTGTGGATTTCTTACAGCAGTCAAGCCCCATCTTTCCAAGGGGGATTTGAGGGGCTGGAGGGCCCACTCCCCCTCTCTACAGAAATGGCAGCCGTGGAGCAGGATGACTGTAACTCCCAGCTCGTCAGTAAACATGTACTGAGAAGATTCATCCTGTTAAGGGGCTTCCTTTAGCAGACTCGAGCCAGATTATCTCACCTGGCTTTTCTTCTAAGCCCTTTCCTCTCTCAGTTCTCTCAGCCTGGGTATCCTGTTCCTGGAGTGGGCCAAACTTGTCTTTATTGCAGCCTCTTGAGTCTTCATGGAGAGCCAGGTCTGCTCACAGTGATACACATCAGGATATTTCTGGTTTGAGCCAAGGCCCATGCTGAGGGTTTTTTTGATAGGGAAGGAAACCTTTACTGGAATCCTGCAAGGTTTTATTTCATTTCCTCTGCAGTCATGAGCAGTGGTAACTGCTGTAGGTTCCCTCATGGTGATGATTCCTCCCACTGGTCCCTGGTTTTCACACTCATGCTGAAGGCGATCCCTTGAGCTCAACTCAGCAGTGTCTGATGGTCCAGCTGCCACTTTCTAGGAGGTTGACCCATCTCCTCTCCCTTCCACCCTGAAGGTGTTCAAAAGGAAGTAATAAAGTTAATATTTTCATTGTACAGACATGATCTATCCAAGTTCTTCACGTGTTTTTGTCTGTTAAAATATGTGCTCCCCTGAGACTTGGCTCAGGGGCTGAGGAAGTGTGTTACTTGTGATCACATCTTCGAGACACCTCAGTGTGTTAACACAAGAATGTGTTTGTGAGGAGCTTGTCGTGAAGTCTGGAGTTTATCAGTCCAGTTCTTACATGGTAGAAAGATAAAATTAGTTCCAGAGAAAGAGAGATGTTGGAAATGACACAAAATCCTTCTGGTAGAAAGAGGAGTAATGGTTTGCAGCCATCAGGTATTTCAGCTCCCACGAGGGGATCAGTACTCCAGATGGAAATACCAGCATTCATTGTACAGTACACCTCCCCCTGATCAGGGGAGGTGCTTCCAGAGGTGCTGTAGCTTCATCAGCCTTTGTTTGGAGCTGCCAAAAATGTGGCTTTGCACAGACAAGGAGAATTAAAACTCCACTCTTGTCCAGGAGGATGATAACAGGGAGATGGAAGGAAATTAACTCATTGGTCAAGAAAACTTCTGACTCCCCTCCTCAAACTCTGCAGCTGCTCCACTCCTGAGAGTTTCCTTCAGGTCCCACATAAGCATTTGTTTGGCATTCAGGTTTAGGACTCCTTGCCTGCATGTCTGGCTCCGAGCAGCCTGGTGCTCAGTCCTGGCAGTTGCCTGCTGGTCTTTGGCTTCTGCCCAGGAGAGAGGTCAGTCAGCTCATCAGAGCATCGAGAGGAAAACCTGGGGTTTGTGGGTTTAGACCAGCAAAAGTTCTGGTGTCCACAGGTTAGGCAGAAATCTGAGTCAAGTGTGCTGTGAAAACCAAAAGTGATCAGAGGTGTCAGATCGTGCACTGACAGTCCTCTCATTTCTCAGGTAGGCTGAAAGTGCCTTTCTTTCTCCACCACAGAGATTAAAAATGGCAAAAGATGTTAAATGAGGAGGCTGAGGTTGGAAAAGGTTCTTCCCCCAGAGGCTGGTTGGGCACTGCCCAGGCTCCCCAGGGCAGTGGGCACAACCCCAAGGCTGCCAGAGCTCCAGGAAGGTTTGGACAACACTCCCAGGGCCAGGGTGGGATTGTTGGGGATGGTCCTGTGCAGGGCCAGGGGTTGGATGGATGATCCTTTTGGGTCCCTTCCAATTCTATGACTGAATGATCTGCTTATCATGTGTCTGTGCTGGTTTTCTCATGGAGCTGAGATGCCACTGGATGCTCCCATGTAACCCATGGTGCACAGATGGGCTTCCAGAACGGAGCTGAAACAGGACCTGGCACAGCCAGAGCCTCCAGCTGGGAGGTTGGAATGGCAGCAGCACCGTCACCCACGATGGGCAGGAGCTTACAGTGCTGCCCTGGCATTTCCTGAGGGAATCATAAAGGACAGCTCTTTCTTGCTGGAAACACTAATTGTGTTTGATGGAAAGATGACTGTGGGGAAACCTCAGCTGAAGCAGAGGTTACATGGAAGGGATTTTTACTGGCTGCAGTGGTCATGGTGCTCCAGACCTGTGCTTTCGTGGGGAAAAAAATCAATGACTCCAGGCGCTTTGCATCCTGAGAAACCATCAGGATTCTCTCGTGGCTGTCCCATGGGATTTCCAAGAAGCGTCATTCTCACAGTCCTCTGGCAATATGCACAGTTCCCTTTTTCCCCCCCATCTTAATCTGTGGGGTATGCATCTGACCTCATAAAACCATTTTTCAGCTTCACTGTTGGTAGTTTTCTCCCTCTCCTCTCTGGAAGCCTCTGGCCTGCTGGCAGCAGCATTGTCCAGCGAGGTTTGAAGCTTGGCACACTGTCAACAAACCTTCAGCTCCCCTTTCAATCAAACATGGTAATGCTGAGATCCAACTTGGATTCCATCCCAAGGTTCACCATAATCATCCCTGTATAATAGGAAGTCCAAACAACCCCAGGAAATAATTCAGATGTGACTGGTGCCTTGAGTGGAATAAAGAAGTGCCTAGAAGAGACATTAAGAGCCTCAGCTTTAACTCTTTTCATAATTATGCGCTCCGAAGGAGCGGAGGCTTTGGAGATAAAGGGATTACATGCATCTCGTGAGGTCTGCAGAGACGGGACAGTGTCTTCTACCCACATTTTCTCATTTTTGTTTTACTGCCATTGCAGTTGCCACATTTGGGGGAAGAATGTTGCGGAGCAGGCTCCTCTCTAACCCTGCAGGTCCCTTCCAATCTGGCACAGGTAAATTGAATCTGTCTCCCCTTAGGGATGAGCTTTTGGAAGAGCCTGTTGGTAAGAGCAGTGGGGGTGAGAGTTTAATTGGATTAAGATGCATTTCAGCAGTGCTTGTGCTGTGGGCTGTGCTCTGTGGCTGCCAGAGGGAGCCACGCTCAGAGCTGGGCATGCCCTGGGATACTCTTCCAGCCCTGGCTGCCTTTCTGCTGCCCAAGGAAAGAGGCCATGCCTCAGAGGTGTGGAACTCGGTGTAACCCAGCACAGGGGTCACCAGGGTGTGAACAAACCATGTCTCGAGCTGGTGTCCTGCCTCCTGCTGTGAGCCGGTACCCACAGCCAGGCAAGGGCTTGGCTTTTCCTCACCAAACCCAGCAGCCGAGGCAGGGATGTGATGGGCAGGGATGTGATGGGCAGGGAGGTGATGGGCAGGGTCCAGCTGAGGCAGGGATGTGGTGGGCAGGGTCCAGCTGTGCACCCCACCTTCACTCAGCTCTTGCTTGGGGTCTGGGTGCCTTTGGCCTGTGCATCTTATACTTTGATACCATTATAAGTGCTCATTTGCTTTTTGATGTCTTTGTCATTTTTAAGGTTATTTAAAGGTTTGCTTCTCTTGACAACTTCCTCCGTGACAAAGTTGCACATCTGTTAGTTTCCAATAAACATTTCCTTCTCCCTGGTATATACTTGGGAGTTTTTAGTTTTGTAGGTTTGCTCTGCTGCCCTGGGAAGGGATAATTTGGAGTCCCCAGTTCACTCCCTTCATGCTACTCATTATTTTATGTGCCTCTCATGTGATCTCTCTCCTTTTCATTACTAATCAGGTCTAGTCTTTTCAATCCTCCTTTGTGTGATAGTTTCATTTTACAAAAGCTGAACTAGTTTCTATCAGCTCAGTTGATGTGATCTTACTCATATCAAAGGTGTTTAAGAGCCGCAGTCCCGTGTACTCACTGCAAGCTGAACTTAAATTGTGTCAAGTTCTGCGCTGCTTTGCGATGGCAAGTGGGAATGTTCGTTACAGCTGTCTTTAAATTTAAATTTGGATGTTTTAAATGAATTAAATATGAACATGAATAATGCAGCTAGTAACGTAGCCTTTCTGCAATTAAATGCAAACTTTTTCATTTTGTCTCTCTGCTTTCAGGTTTTGCTATGCCGCAGTGTTTGTACTGACTCTGCTGTCTTGGAGGAGTGATGGGGAACTAGAGCCCATGACAGTTCAGTGGAGCCCTGGGCACTTTTGATATCTCGGTGAGTGAAAGTTGTTTGAAACTGTGGGAAAGGCACTTTATCTGCTACTAAAGGCAGCAAATCAGTTGGCCTTTTTCCATTTTTAAGGTAGCATCCTGCCGAAATGAATTTGCACATTGATCTGTCCTTTCAGGCTATAAATTCTGGAAACCAACACTAACACTGTGGTCCGTGCTTGGGAGATTATCTTGATCTCCACAAGCAGGAGAAACACAGCTTTTGAAAACAAGGGGAGTTTTAACTCCGGTGTGCAGTTCTGTATAATTGTCAGGTTCTGGAGATGGAGCGTTGCAGTGTGTGCTGGGCTGTGGGAATCTCAGAGGCTTCGTTTCATGCAGCAGTAAGATTGTGTCCTTTGTGCCATGGGCCGAGCCAATGGGTGCCCAGCAGCGGCATGTTTGTGTCTGAGGTCATTCCAGATCTGTCTCTGTGGATGGATCATTTCCCCCCCCTTAGATACCAAACTGTATCTCCTACTATTTAGTACTTCCACGTTTTTTTGCTCTGCAGTGCCTGAGCGGAGCAAAGGCCCTGTCCCTTGGTACCACGGTGCTCCTGTCCTGCAGTGGCCTGAGTGCCTGTGCTGCCAGTCCCTTTCTTCCCTCTGCACTGAAATCTGTCCTCACTGGGGCATTTCAGCCTTGGTGAAACCTTTACAGTGATTCCTCTTGCCTTCCAGTCTGTTGTCAGGGAGATAAAATCCTTGGGTGTTTCAGGTTGGAAGGAGCTTAGGGAGGCTGTCTGTCCAGCACCACATGCAGAGCTGGCCTGACTTTGAAATCAGACTCAGTTACAAGGTTAGATCAGGCTGCTTGGGGAGGCAGCTGGTGATATTTGGAATATCTCCAAGGGTGGAGATTTTACAGCTCCTCTGGGCAACTATAAATTACAATCAGTGGGAATTATCAATTCCCAAGCCCTGTGTTAGTAAAACCCAGGGGCAGCAGAGGGGCAGCTCTGATCTCTGCTCTCTGTGACCAGTGACAGGACCCAGGGGAGTGGCTGGAGCTGTGTCAGGGCAGGCTCAGGCTGGATCTCAGGGAAAGGTTCTTCCCCCAGAGGCTGGTTGGGCACTGCCCAGGCTCCCCAGGGCAGTGGGCACAGCCCCAAGGCTGCCAGAGCTCCAGGAGGGTTTGGACAACGCTCTGAGGGCCAGAGTGGGATGGTTGGGGTGTCTGTGCAGGGCCAGGGGTTGGATGGATGATCCTTTTGGGTCCTTCCCAACTGTGACTCTGCTCCACCACCTCCCTGGGCAGCTCATTCCAATACCTGACAGCCCTTCCTGTGAAAAAATTCTTCCTGATGTCCCACGTGAACCTCCCCTGGCACAACTGGAGGCCGTTTCCCCTTCTCCTGTCACTGATTACCCAGGAGATTGACCCTACCTGGCTCCACTGTCCTGTCAGGGAGCTGTAGAGAGTGAGAAGGTGCTCCCTGAGCCGCATTAGGGTTATTCCCTGCCTGAGAGTGGAGGGTGCAGGAGTGTACCCTCGTCTCTAGCCACAGGCTTCCACAATCCTGTGTGTGTAGGCGCTTCAGAAAGTCCCACAGACAGAAGAGGGGCAGTGCCAGAGATCGCAAATGCTTGTCTGGTGCCTTTATGTAACACCTTTCGGCCTGGGTTTTATGTCTGGAGGACTTTTCCTGACAGACTGCTAGTCTTTAATAAAAATGAATGAAGAAAATTATGAAAAGAAGCTTTAAATGTTGTAAATAATCTTTCACATGTGGGTTACCTTCCACTATTGAAAGGGAAAGAAACTTTACTCCTTTCACAAGTGTGTACAGACACACACAGTATTTAGAAGAGAGGCAATAAGTGACTACTGTGCACCTCTTGATGTGGATTAAAAAACAACCAGGGATTTTTTTCCTTTAGTATTTAATTCCTTCCGTATTTTTCTTCTCAGAGTATTGCTCAGTGTTGCAACTAAAGGCTGTAGTTTATAGTGCTGTTGCAGAAAATTAAAGTCTTTATTTCTCTTAGGTTTGGAAAAAGCTTGGTTTTCAAAATCCCAACTTCTTGCCAAGTTGGAGCTGTAAATAACCCTTTAAGCAGCGACTCGGCACTGTGTCCTGAGACAGCTTCCTGTTCCATCCTCCTCCTGACTGCCCCACTGTGAACAAAATGGAGTTATATTGACACAATTAATCTTTCATTAGTTAGTGGAGTGTCAAAACATGCTTTTCCTGCCTTTCCCGAGGGCTTGTTTGTGGCTCAGCCATTCATTTGGATATTTTCTGGCAGGCCTTGGTGAGGCTCGGTGTGTGCAGCGGGCACTGCCCTGGGAGAGCGGCTGTGCCAGGCACTGAGCACCCTCTATGTGCCCAGCACACATCTCCCAAGAGCCCTGATTCTCAGGAATATTTGCTTATAACAAGAATGCAAACGCTTCTACTTGTTGGGGACAGTCCAGCCAGTTTTCCTCCAACCAGGAAAAAAGAATTTGCAGCACAACTTGGACACTCGGGGCAGTGCTAACAGCAAAAGTATTTCCTGGATCATTGTCCAGTTTCTCATCCTTATTCCCCAGAACTTCTATGAGCAATTTGAATTGCAAGTGGAGAGCTGGGGATTGCTGTGCTGCTTTGCCAGAATTAATGTTATGTTTCCATGTGTTTTCTTTCATAAATCTCAGCTCTGCTTCCCTTTGTTAGTGAGTGGGAGCAGCCTCTCCTTCCACACACACACGCTCCAGACCCACTGTGGGGTGAGCACAGAGATGGGCATGTGCTCTTTGTGCTTATTTATGCTGCTCCTGCTGCCATGAATTTGAAGTTGTCCACAAATTGGAGGAAGTTTTGTAGTTTCAGGGGGTGACACGAACTGTGAGTGCTCTGTGCAACCCCGGGTGACAGAGCATGTGCTTCCTCCTCTGTGGGATGAGTTCATGGTTCAGTGTGCTCCAGAATGGGGAATTTTCTCATCTTTATTTCTTTTGTCCTAGACACCTTCAGTTCTCTAAGAGCAAGCCAGTTCCGGGGCAGGACAGCAGCAGGTGGTAGAATGCGGAAACCAGGCCCTCAGAAAGGTGAGCGGTGACGTTGGGCACAGCCGAGGGCTGGTCGGGAGCTGGGGTGCGGTGTCAGCAGCGAGGGTGCTCTGCAGAACCCACGGCACACACCATCTGCCAGTGCTCCCAGTGTGAGGCAAACTGGCTCTGCTGGCACAGGCCTCCCCCTTCTAATGAGGCATGAAACCAGGGACCAGCCTACCTTGTGGAGAGGAAATCTGTCCCAGGCTCCCTCGTGTCCCTCGGCCCCTCACAGCCCCACACGTGCTACCTGGGATGTGCATCCCCAACAGAAAGGGTGCAGCCGAGCCTGCTGCCTGCAGCTGAGCTGCTCTGGCTTCTTGTGCTTCACAGAACTATTGATTTCCGTTGGTGTTGTGCCCTGCCTGTGCCTTGGGCTGCAGTGATCTCATCACACGCTCCCGCTCCCGGGGCTGGGGGAAGGGAGGGCAGGAGGACAGAGCATCCTCCACAGCTCTTTGTTCACATCTGCTCCACACTCCCAAGGTTTATTGCAGGAGATTTCTATGCTCCATTTCTCTCCTCCCTTATTTTTTTTAAGTGTCTCCTTTGCTTCTGTGGTGGTTCATCTTACAGCAGCATTAGCCTCTTCCTAACACTGCTTGTCCTTTAATGAAGTGAAAATAAATGAAGGAGAGCAGGGAGTGGGGAGACCCTGCTGCGAGGCAGCTGGAGGGCTTGGCAATAAAGGAGGCAGGTTGATTAGTCAGCAGTGTGGCTGTGGACTGGGCTGACTGGATTTAGCCTCATACACAGCTTGTTCTCTGGGCTCATGGAGCCTGGTGCCTCCAGCCAGCCTGGCTGTGTGCCCTGTGCTGCCAGTGCTGTGACATAGGTTGCAAAGGCAACACCTGCATCGTGCACACGTGGGTTTCTGTCCTACTTACCTGCTTTTTTAATAATGCATTGAACTTTCACTGTTTCTTTATTTGTCTGCAGAAATTCTTGTGTTTCTCTCTCTCTCTCTGCTGCTTTTGTATCATGCTTAATGAGGATTTTTGCATGTTAAAGGTTAAGAACAAAATGTACCTTCACCTGCAGAGTGTGGTGAGAGGCTCCTTTGAGTGCACAGATGCTGTTAGAGCTGTCCTGCAGGACTGAGGGGAGCCTTACCCACCCAGGGGGCTCTTTGCTTCTGACTTAAATACTTTATGTCCTTTATTCTCGCTTTCTTAGGGAGGTGGCAGAATACTGTCCTTCATGGTAATGCATTTGTAGGAAGGGTGTCCTTCAATCCTTTTCATTCATTTATGTCTCTCCAAGGAGGTTCTTTGTCTGGTCTGACTGGTGACACTGTGGCCACACTCCATATGTCCCTCATGTTCATTTAAGGGATGCTGATCTGGCATCCCTCTGTTGGGATGGAGGCTGTTGGAGGCAGGGGTGGGCATCCCCTGCTTCTTGCTCTATCACTTTCCAGAGCTGTAAAACCTGTATGCCATCCTGTCCACTGTGCTAAAAAGAGCATGTCAGGAAGAGAAGATTGCAAAAATAATTGTCCAAAAGCAATTCCAGACACGTTAAGACACCCCAGATCACTCCAGCAGCAGCTCATAGCCTGCCTCTCCCAGCTGCTTGTCAGGAGATTTTGAAACTTTTCCTGTTTTTGTTGTCCTTCCTTTCACAAGGAAGTGCTTTTTGTGGGGGCAAGGCACCACAAAGGGCACTGCCAAATTGTCATTTACAGTAGCCCTAAAGTGCTCTGTAAAATAAAGGAGCTGGAGTGCAGCAGCACTCCCAGGGTGCCCAGTCAAGCAGCAGCAGGTGGAGGAGGTGGCTCAGGGTGAGCCTGGTCTGCCATCCCTCCGTTGGGCTGGAGGCTGCTGGAGGCAGGGATGAGCATTCCCTGCTCCTTGCTCTGTCCCTTTCCAGAGCTGTCTTTGGGAACTTTAATTTTTTTGGAACTCTGAGGCCCAAAGCTGTCATGAGCAAAGGCAGCTCAGATGAGCTGCTCTCCAGAGCTGGTGCTGCTTTGCTGTACTCTCCTCTGAGCTGGGCAGGACACGTGGAAACCCGGTGTTGTACGTGGAAAGGGCAGTTGTGCAGATTTTCAGGGAGGTCCTCTCCCCATCTCCAGAGAGGGCCGAGGCTGTTTGTGGGAAATGACTGGGAGTTGATACCCAAGGAGAGATTCAGGCTCCACTTCTCGGTGCCCAAGATCCATGTGAGCCGTTTTCAGTGGCTGTTGTGTTTGTTCTCTCGAGCTCTTCTTCTCATGGCTAAAATGATGGAGCTCTAGCAGTTTACTGCTCTTTCTCTTATTGCTGATCACTGGGGGAGAACAGTGGCTGGTGGGGACTAGGCAGGGACCAAGGTGCAAATGCAGGTACCTTGTGTCAGGTATGTGCATGAGCTGTGGGGAGGAAGGGAGCACACCCCAGAGATGGGGGCAAATCATCCATGTCACCTGGGGGCACAACAGGGAGCTCACTCTGCTCCTCTGAAGGGCCTGTAAAGCAGGCAGTGTTGAAGGGTGCATTACCTGGCTCCTTTCCCTCACACAAATGCTCTGTTTCTTGTCTCAGCCATAGACTGGAAAGATGGTAAGAAGCACAAGTACAGCCGCCCGTCAGAGTCTCCCTCCCAGTACCAAGGTAAGAGAGCTCCCTTCTCCCCCTTCCTCCTCCCTTTTCTTCTTCCTCCTCCTTCCTTCCCCCTTCTTTCTCTTCCCCAGCTCACATGGGCTGTGTGTACTCAGCCCATGGGGTGTTGGGGGCTCCACTGCAGTTTCCCTGTGCTCCACGTCCTGCTCCATTTGCAGATGGCAGAGGATGGGCTGTTTTTCAGTGGCCACACTGACCTGAAATGGAGCTTCCTGTGAAATGCAGCGCTCCTGGTGACCCAGCACGCCAACCCTGCACCCACTGCATGCCAGGGCTGTGGCCCAGGGGGGCTGCAGGGGGGCTGGGGTGCACAGGGCTGCTTGACAAGCGCATGGTGCAGCAGTGAGGATCAGGGGTCACCTCCCTGCAAAAACTTCTGTGCAGCTCATCACTGCCCGAAACTGGGGTGTACATCCTGGTAGAGTTGGGGCCTGGAGAAGAGAAGGCTCCAGAGAGAACTTGGGGCCCTTTCCAGTGCCTAAAGGGGCTCCAAGAGAGCTGGAGAGGGACTTTGGACAGGGGCCTGCAGTGACAGGACAAGGGGCAATGGCTTCCCACTGCCAGGGACAGGGTTGGGTGGCATACTGGCCAGAAACTCTTGGCTGTGAGGGTGGGGAGGTCCTGGCACAGGTTGTCCAGAGAAGCTGTGGCTGCCCCATCCCTGGAAGTGTCCAAGGCCAGGTTGGACAGGGCTTGGAGCAACCTGGGCTAGTGGAAGGTGTCCCTGCCCATGGCAGGGGATGGAATGAGATGGGCTTTAAGGTCCCTTCCAACCCAAACCTGTCTACGATTCTGTGATTCTATACAGTGAGGGGGTGAAACTGCAGCATCTTTCTGGCATGGCTGGAAGGATTTCTGTTCAAAGCTAACACTGAATTGGGACTCCTCTAAGGAGGAACAGAGCAGACCAGACAGTCCCGGTGGTTGAAACCTCTTAGTTTTGATTCGCACGTTCTCACATTTTGCTGAGTAGGACAGGGAGTGATGGGGCTCCTGTTGTGGGCTGTAGCTGTTCCCAGTGGAGCATGTGCAGGCAGACTGATGGCTGGGCAGAGTGCCTGGGAATGGGAACGGTGGGACAGGCAGGAACCGTACGGAGCCGGTGGCAGAGCTGAGCCCCGGGAGCCACGTTCAGACATCAGGGACAGCTCCCGTGGCCCAGGATCTGCGAGCCCAGACAATGCTCTGCTCCTTTTCATACTGGGCTGCTTTCATGTGCTGCCTTGCTGCTCCTTGGCAGCCACACATATGGGCTGCAGACTTTAATGGGATGCCTTGATCTGAGCAGGGCACGTTCTCCTTCACAGATGTGACCTGAAACGCACATGTATTGTTTCAGTTGGATTGATGACCCCTCGGGAGCCAAAATGCTAATGGAGCCCAAACCAGACTTCAGTTAAAGATATAAACAGAAACTCCATCTTCATTTAAATTCTGGGCAAAGGTTCAATGTTAAATGCAACATGAAGAGAATCCAAACATGAGGGTGCAGGGCTGCATTGTTCACAACTACTGGAGTTTGACCCCTTGGGTGTGCAGAGTGTTTTGTTTGGAGTAAATATTTTTGAAGGTTAAGACATCAGAGCCCAAATCTGACTCTCTGCCTGCAAGTAATATCTCCCTTCGGCATGAGCACACGGCAGGGAGCTTCCCCAAGGCAAGCACAAGTGACAAGTGACAGTGGCATTTCCAGGGCCGAGTCCCAGGGAGTCACTCAGGTTCACAGTCCTTGGCTTTTGTTTGGCTCACAGATGTTATTGCAAAAATGGGGTGTTTCTCATTAAGTGTTTCTCTCCCATTTCTTCCTGTGAAAAAGATCTGATGAGTTGCAGAGAGGGACTTTGGACAAGGGCCTGGCATGCCAGGACAAAGGGGAATGGCTTCCCACTGCCAGAGGGCAGGGTTAGATGATATTAGGTTAGATGATATTAGGTTAGATGATATTAGATGATATTAGGGTGAAATTCTTCCCTATGAGGTGGTGAGGCCCTGGCACAGGTTGCCCAGAGAAGCTGTGGCTGCCCCATCCCTGGAAGTGTCCAAGGCCAGGTTGGACGGGGCTTGGAGCAACCTGGGCTGGTGGAAGGTGTCCCTGCCCATGGCAGGGGATGGAATGAGATGGGCTTTAAGGTTCCTTTCAACCCAAACCATTTTATCATGTGATTCTGTATGTGTTATCTGGAGGAACAGTCCTTTCCAATGGGGATCCTTCCAGTGGTGTGTTTTGCAAGGCAAGGGAGGGAACATGAAAGAGCAGGCAGAGACCAGATGAAATAGAGGGTGATTTTAGGGCTGGTAGGAGAGTTTGTATGTGGTACTGGAAGCCAGCAGCAGTGGAGCAAGCATTCTCCTTTGCTTTTCAGGGCTAGAGAGGATTTCATTCCCTGCAGTCAGCTCTGGCCTTGGACACTCCTGCTCCATCACCAGGAAAAAGGACTGGCTGATGTTTCTTCAGGAAGCAAAGGGATTCACTAGCAAGTGGGGAAAAGTCATCAGTGTTTTTTGACCAACCCTTGGGAACCAGGGTTACATGCCCAGGCCAGATCAGAAACAAGCATCTTGCATACTAAAATGTCCTGTCCCTCCACAATAAGGCATCCAGTTTATCAATATGGATAAGAATATTGAGAGAATATAAAATATGAGACAGTTGGTCAGTGCTAAGGAGAAAGCCAGGCAGCACACTGTCAGTTTTTCCCTCTGGCCTTGCACCTCCATCCCCAGGGAGCCTGTGGAATGGCAGCAGCAGCACAGGCTGATGGTGTCCTGCCTGACAGCACGGCTGGTGTGGAGCTCCAGGGGAGACCTGTCTGGAGCTGGGTGTGGAAAGTGAGTGAGGATCAGTGTGGTGAGCAGGATTTGGGTACAGGAGAGCTGAGGTTGAGAGGGTCGGGCATGATGTGTCCCTTTTCAACCACATGCCCTTCCTCAAGGACAGAGCTCAGGGCTTGTGTTCTGCTCCCCTGTTAACAAACCCTCAATGCATCCTGCTTTTTCTGTTTTATTGGCAACCAACGCTTTGTTGTAAAAAACCCCAACTTTAGTGTTATGCCATTTTTGTCTGATTCTTCCTGCAGTCCTTAGGTTGAAGCTGATTATATTTGGTTAACTTTAAATGTACTTTGAAATTCCTGCTTGAAAATATTATATTGTGATACTATTACTGAATTCATTTAAACCCATTCCCTACATTCTGTGCAGGATCTCCTCTCATGCTAAAGCAGTGATGACAGCCTCCAGTCTGCAGTTTTTATCCTGGTTTGAGAGTAATCCTGAAAAAGAAGTGTAAGCTCTACCTGTGCTAGTTGTGCCATCTGTGCAGGGGAATGGCCAGTAGTGAACAGAGGGGGAGGGAGGGAAGGCTGAATGCTGCTGTATCAGCTCAGTCTTTTTTTAGAAGTATTTCTGCTGCTCCTGTTTTTCTGTGCAAAATAAATCACCAGAACCATGAGTCGTAAGACTCAGAGAATCACAGAATATCCTGAGTTGGAAGGGACCCTCAAGGATCATCCATCCAACTCCTGCCCTGCACAGGACACCCCAGCAATCCCACCCTGGCCCTCAGAGCGTTGTCCAAACCCTCCTGGAGCTCTGGCAGCCTTGGGGCTGTGCCCACTGCCCTGGGGAGCCTGGGCAGTGCCCAACCAGCCTCTGGGGGAAGAACCTTTGCCTGAGATCCACCCTGAGCCTGCCCTGACACAGCTCCAGCATTCCCTCAGGCCCTAAAGAACTTGCAGTTCTAATGTTGTATGTGTCTTCATATGGTGGTTGAGTCCCAATGGGCTCTAGAATTAATCTCAAATAAGTTCCATGTCCAAACACTATTTTTGGAGGCCCACAGCTGTCTCAAGAGTTCCCTGCTCCTGCTGGGATTGTGCAGGGTGGATCCTGGCTCTGGGGGTGAGCTGCTGTGGGAAGCAGGAGGGCTTTACTTGGTGTGGAGGGAGTGAAAAGTGGAAAGATTAAAATGGATTGAAGCCAGCTGAGGAGAGGGGAGGGTTCGGTGGGGTTTGTTTTTTTTTTTTTTAAATTGTCAAGCACAGCTGATCCTGCTCAAGCTGCTGGATCAGGGCCCGGTGCTGTCACCTGGGCATCCCCTGTGCTCCAGGACCTCTGAAGGGCTACCCTGGTCTAAGATAAGCCCAGATCAGCAACCAGAGTTAAAGGGTGAGATGCATAAGGCATTTCTAGGCCAGGAGTGCCTGGCTTTGCTTTGCCTCCACTTTATTCATACAACGAGTTTCATTGACATAACTGATGTAAAATTGTATCTTCAATTAAACCAAAAGATTTTTGGTTTTAGGAGAACATCATTGCAGTAACTCACTGAATTTTCTTCATTCACCCAATGTGAGGCTGTGGCTGAAAGGAAAATATGTGCCAGTGGATGGAACGGAGTACTCTGGGGCATGGAGAGCTGCTGTCAGTCTGGAAACAGCAATATTCAGCCAGTGTGGCAATGAAACTGTATTTTTTCTGTTAATTTTCCCTATATTTAACAGTGTGCTAGTCATCTGCATGGGAGGTGGCAAGAAAGCAGTGTTCCTTGTATTTATTTGGAGCTCATAGATGATGAAGGCTCCTCTGTGCCCACAAGGCAGCTCTGAAGCAATGTGTGCTGACCTTACTGCCTGAATTTTCAGAGGTGTGGTGTGTGCTACAGTAGCTGAAGTGGCTCTTAATGTAGCTTTTGTTTTGAAAATAGGCTGATTAAGAACTTGCCTGTGACTTGGGGAAGTGGTAGCTGACTTTAATTGTGCTGCCACCGGTGCTCTTGAAATGCTTTGCAAACAGCGGCCTCCTGGGAGCCCTTGGGATGAATACAAGCGAATGTCAGCCTGGAAGGATCCTCTCCCAGCTGCTCAGTGTAAATGGCAAAAGTCATGATTTGGTCAGATCACAAGAGCTTTTAATTCCTCATTTAATAACAGGTTTCCTTGGGTGGCATATTGCTGTCACCCTTCCTGCTGGCCGTGTGGAAGGGGCAGGCAGGAGGAAACGTGCTGCACTCGGTGGAAGGGGACTTGTGTTGGGTGCGAGGTGCTGAGCTCAGTAAATCCCCATTTGGAGGATCCCTGCTCCCATCCTGCCCGTGCTGTGGACTTCCTGGCCACTTCAGGGAGTTGTTTGCTGGCCTGTACTGATTGCTGGGGTTGGGCTGATCCCTGCTCCGAGCTGCTGGGTGGGCTGTGTGTGCTGGACCAGGGGGACCATGTAGTCACTACAGAGCAGGTTCCTGTTGATTTAGAATCATGGAATCACAGAATGGCTTAGGTTGGAAGGGACCTTACAGGTCATCTTGTTCCAGCCCCCAGGTTGGGCTGCTTGTAGCCCATGGTGACTGTTCATAAGCCCCAGACTGAGTGATGTGTTTAATTAATGGTTTTTAAGGGACAGTTGTCTGGAAGACCCTGCAGATTCCCATCTGTGCTGGGTGTTTTCCATTAGGCTGTAGGTTGTTACCCTGGCTCTGTGCAGCCCCTTCTCGGCAGCACAGAGGCAGGAAGATGCCGAAGGCAGCGCTGGGCTTTGTTCTGCCTGTCACTTGCAGTTGTAAATCTTCTGTGCTCACAAACATCAGAGGTTCCTGATGAAAACATGTTGCCTGTGAGCACCTCCTCTGTGAGAAGTGCAGAACTGCCGGCGTCAGGAGTCCAGCCAGCTCTTTTTCTGAGAAATCTGCTCATCAATTCCTGTTTGATTCCTTTTGTTTTTACTTCTCAGGTCACTTCACCTGGGAGAAATACCTGAAAGAGACATGTGCCATCCCAGCTCCTGCCCATTGCTTCAAGCAGGTAAGGGTGAAAACAAGAAAGGTCAAGGGTGATGGTCCACTGGGGACCTCCGAATTCTGTGCCTGGGATAGGCCCCTGGTTTGGTGAGGAAAATCCTTAAGGATATTGGAGACTTAGCAGAAATCCAAGTGTGCTGAAGTAAAGATTCAAGAGATACATTTAGAGTAGAACAGAAGATTTTACTCGATATGCACAATGGGAGCATGAGTGTGCCTTTACTCTGCCGAGCAGAGGCCCTTGGAGAAAGTGTCCTGAGTAGGCTGTGATCCAGCTTTTGGTGGATCCTGCCCAGTAAGGAGATTTTCTGCAGAATTCACCCATCTTTGTGAATGGAATAGCAGCTCCCTGGGCAGCAGGCAGTGAGCACAGAGGTGGTTTTGCCGAGTACAGGGTTTGCAGGATAAATTGCCATGGGACACGGGTCTGGGTGGAGGGGAGTAGCACAGGGAGGGGTTTATTTGGGTCTGGGGTTGGCTGGATGAGTCTTCCAAGAACAGGGCTAACCTTCCAAGAACAGGTGCAGCCCTACCTGTGCTGAGCACTGGTAGGGATGCACCTCAGATTCTGGGTTCTATTTTGGGCCCCTCACTACAAGGAAGACATTGAGGGGCTGATCCATGTCCAGGGAAGGGAACGGAGCTGGTAAGGGTCTGGAGCACAAGGAACAGCTGAGGGAGCTGGGAGGCTCAGCCTGGAGAAAAGGAGGCTCAGGGGGGACCTTCTCACTCTCTATAACAGGAGGGTGGGGCTATGTGGGGGTCAGGCTCTGCTTCCAGGGAACAAGGGACAGGACAAGAGGAAATGGCCTCAAGTTGTGCCAGTGGAGGTTTAGGTTGGATATCAGGAAAATTTCTTCACTGAAAGGGTGGTCAGGCCGTGGAACAGGCTACCCAGGGCAGTGGTGGAGTCACCATCCCTGGAGCAGTTCAGAAAACGTGTAGATGTGGTGCTTGGGGACATGGGTTAGTGGTGGACTTGGCAGTGCTGTGGGAATGGTTGGACTCGATGATCTTAGAGGTCTTTTCCAACCTCAGTGATGCTGTGATTCCAAGAGAACAGGCTCAGTGTAGTTGCTGAGCTGGTGCAGTGTGGAAGGACAGTGCTGTGTGTCACAGAGCTGCCAGGGCTCGCTGACCTTTCTGTGGTGCTGTTCCTGTGCTGCGCCTCAGGACGCCTCAGTCCTGGCTGGGCCCCGTTCTTATGCCCTTAGCGCTTAAGCTTTGTGCCTGAGCGGGTGCTTGTGTTGGCAGTCCTGGCTCTGACCAGCTCCCCGTTCCTCTCCTTGCAGTCATACACTCCTCCTGCCAACGAGTTCAAGATCAGTATGAAGCTGGAAGCCCAGGACCCCCGGAACACCACGTCCACGTGCATCGCCACCGTGGTGGGGCTGACGGGCGCGCGGCTGCGCCTGCGCCTCGACGGCAGCGACAACAAGAACGACTTCTGGCGCCTGGTGGACTCTGCCGAGATCCAGCCCATTGGCAACTGTGAGAAGAACGGAGGGATGCTGCAGCCTCCCCTGGGTGAGCTGGAGTTCAGCTGTCCAGCCAGGGTTACGCTGACTATGGGCAAAACTGGGGGGTTTTTACAGATCTGTACTTGGGACAGAGGCCCATGGCCTGCCCCTGCCTACACTGGAAGATAGGATATGGAAACAGATGTTTCCCAGACCAGGTCTGTATTTCCATGTGGACACTGTGACGTGGATGGGGGGATGCTTTAGAGTGTAGATGGAAGAGGTCTCTGCACCAAGGTGAGCTGCTTGCCCTCGTTGCAGCTCAAGCTCAGGATTGTTGCCCTGGGTAGCTCTGGCTGCCCCATCCCTGGAAGTGTTCAAGGCCAGGTTGGACAGGGCTTGGAGCAACGTGGGGTAGTGGAAGGTGTCCCTGTGGCAGGGGGGTGGAACTTGATGATCTTTTAAGGTCCCTTCCAACCCAAACTGTCCTATGACTCAAAAGCAGGTTCCCTGCACAGGAGACATAACATGTGAAAAGGTTCCCAGTGATTTCAGTCCTGTCTCATGTGAAGGGACACTTGCAGTAGTTCCCACTTATTTATTTAATTTTTCTTGGCTACAGCTTTATAAATAGACTGGACAGTCCAACAGTTCTTCCAGTCTAGTCTTCAGTTAAACACACAACTCTTTCCTTTTCTTTTGACACTAGCCAAATGATGAGCTGATTTGCTGATTCTTTCCTGATGATCAGCAAGATTAACCTGCTTTTGCATTCTGCTGCCCATTAGTTTTAGTGTCTTCATAAATGTCTCTCAATTAGCACATCCTCAAATAATATTTTCAAGGCCAGGTTAGACAGGACTTGGAGCAACCTGGTCTAATGGAAGGTGTCCCTGCCCATGGCAGGGGGTGGAACAAAATGAGCTTTAAGGTCCCTTCCAACCCAAACCGTTCTGTGATTTTATTAACACTAGAGCTGCCATTTTCTCTGTTCCTTTCATGCCTGCTGCTGTCCAGCTCTTAGAAATTTCAGTCCCTGGTGCAGGTTCCAGCTCTGGTGTCCTGCCCAACAGCTGCGGGTACCTCTCCTGGCTGGCAGCTGTGGGTTCCTCCTGTACCTTGCCTGGAATTTGCCAGCAGATAGCATCAAGTTTAAGGAGCTGCAGATAAAACTCACTCCTGGCTGTGCTGGAGGTGAGGGATGAGCTCTGGGACAGGTCTGGGAGCTCTAATCTGTGTCACCTGCTTAACCTCACACCAGAGAAGAGGGCAGCTTTAAATTAGATACTGGGGAAAAATTCTTCCCTGTGAGGGTGGGGAGGCCCTGGCACAGGTTGCCCAGAGAAGCTGTGGCTGCCTCATCCCTGGAAGTGTCCAAGGCCAGGTTGGACAGGGCTTGGAGCAACCTGGGCTAGTGGAAGGTGTCCCTGCCCATGGCAGGGGGTGGAATGGGATGATCTTGCACCAAGCATAAAGATGGGTAACAGAGCTGGTGCTGCAGTTGTCCTTCCTGCCTGCAGAGTGCAAGGGCTGAGAAAATCCAGCAAGAATTTCCTGTGTTCCCTATAGTGTTTTCCATGTGCACACATCTGCTGCTGCTCCCTCTTTACATAGATAATTCCAGTGACAGGACCCAGGGAACGGCTGGAGCTGTGTCAGGGCAGGGCCAGGTTGGATCTCAGGCAAAGGTTCTTACCCCAGAGGCTGGTTGGGCACTGCCCAGGCTCCCCAGGGCAGTGGGCACAGCCCCAAGGCTGCCAGAGCTCCAGGAGGGTTTGGACAACGCTCTGAGGGCCAGGGTGGGATTGTTGGGGTGTCTGTGCAGGGCCAGGAGCTGAACTGGGTGATCCTTGAGGGTCCCTTCCAACTGAGGATATTCTGTGATTCTGTGATTCACACAAAAGGTTATCTTTGCCCCTCTGGGAGCTGAGCTCTCCCATCTCCTGAGCTCGTGGCTGTCTGGGTTAGTGTCCAAGCTGATGAGACTGTTGAGGGCTGCAGAGGGGCTGTGCTGAGCCTTGCAACCCTGGCAAAGCTTTGCCATGTTGCTCGTCATGGGCTGTTCTCAGTCCAGGTCCAGTCCCAGGGTTACCCTCAAAACCCCACAAACACAGACCAAACACAGGTGAGCAGCAGAAACTGCCTGTGCAGGAAGATGCACAGTTAGCAAAGAAGATGCTTTGTGATATCCAGGGCCTCCTGTCAGTTGTGGAGTTGTACTCAGTGCTGTAGACTCAGAGCTTGTGAAATTGTGGGTTTTTTTCTTCCCATAAGCCCCTTCTTGTTATTTCTCTACTTTTTTAACAGAAGGTGTTAAGGCAAAACCTGCCATCCTTCCCTGTAGGGGTTAAATCTGTTTCCCAGCCAAGTCACAGCCTCTATTTCTTCAGGTTAGCTTGCCTGCAGCTCACAGTAAAGGTAGAGGAGGCCACCCAGAAGGTGTGATTCCCTATTGAAGAAGAAATTCCATAGGCTGAGTGTACACTTGCTGATTCATGTCTCCCTGTAGCAGGATCCCTGGAGCTGCCAGCACTGGCACAAAGTGCTCTGCCTGGATGTTCCATGGGCAGGCTTTTGTTATGATAAGTGAATGTTGCAGTCAGACAGCTGTTTCCAGATGTTTCTTTTCAACAACACAGTACTTTGCATTCAGAGTATTTGGAAAAGGTCAAACCTGACTGCAGCATGAGGAGGAAGGTGGTGTGGAATCACAGTTGTGTGAGTTCCCATCAGAGCAGGCATGTGCTGCCAGAGCCAGTGGCCCCCACAGCCTAAAAGTCTCCCTCTCTGCTTCCTTCTCCTCAGGCTTCCGGCTGAATGCCTCCTCCTGGCCCATGTTCCTTCTGAAGACTCTGAATGGAGCAGAGATGGCTCCTGTCCGGATTTTTCACAAGGTATTTTACTGTTTTGTGCAGATCCTTCTGGCATGGCCCCCTTGCTGCAGAGCACCCAACTTAGAGCTGCTGATCCCAGGGGAGGTGACATTGCTCAGCTCTGCCTTGGTGCTGCTGCTCTAGGACAGACCTGTGCCCTCTCCTGCTGTGCCCCAGCAGTGTCAGGATGCAGCCAGAGCTGTGCTAAACAAGTGGCCTGGGCTTCAGTGTTCAGGCTTGAGACATGAGTCTGCTTTTCACCAGGGCTGCAGATGCTGCTCAAAGTGAGGAATGCAAGGTGGAGAAGTCAGCACCTCTCTGAAACTTTTTAATGTGCCAGAGCTTGCAGGTAGAGCAGATACTGCTGTGAGGCAACAGTATGAGTTCATGGGTTGTGTTCTCACACCCTTAGTGCAGTCAGAGAGAGAAGCTGGCTAGAGACGTGTGGGATGGGATGGGATGGGATGGGATGGGATGGGATGGGATGGGATGGGATGGGATGGGATGGGATGGGATGGGATGGTTGGAGAGGCTTTAGTGGATCTCAAGAGCAAGCCCCAGATAAGGGTGGATGGTGGATCTCTCACATGTCTTGCAAAGCTGAAGGTGGGGGAAGAATGATGGAGAGACACTGTCATATCTCAGGGTTTCCAGCTCTGAGATAATAAGGTGAGGGTATCCTCTGGAGGCTCTTTCTTTGGAGCTCTGTTTTCTGCCTGTGGTGCATGACAGAGCTATTGTAGGGCACAGTGTTCACGTGGCACATCCTGGGTCTGGTCCAGCTGAGGGCAGAGCAAGCCATAGTGGACTTTGTTTCCTCTTGGTTAAGGGCATGGGGCTGTGTAGCTCAGCCAGTGTGTTGTGGAGTGAACCCCACACCTGCTGGGGTTCAAATCCAGCCCACTAACTCCCTTCAGTGAAGGTTAGTTTGCTGATGAGGGCACAGCCCTGGTCTGGCATGTCCCCTTTGAGCACATATTTTACTTCTTCTTGTAGGAACCACCATCTCCATCCCAAAACTTCTTCAAGACAGGTATGAAGCTGGAGGCAGTGGACAGGAAGAACCCTCACTTCATCTGCCCGGCCACCATTGGGGAGGTGAGAGGTTCTGAGGTCCTCATAACATTTGATGGCTGGAGAGGTGCCTTCGATTACTGGTGCCGATATGATTCCCGGGACATCTTTCCCGTAGGCTGGTGCTCGCTGACTGGAGATAATCTGCAGCCCCCTGGTACAAAAGGTAAGGCCCACGTTGTTGCTTTGCTGTCTTTCTCCTCCACTCAGCTCTCTAAATGCAGCGCAACAGGCAGAGACTGGCAGCAAGGACACCCGGGTGCCCGGTCTGGCTTTCTTGTGCTGCTTCATGCATGGGAAAGGTACATGTGATCACACCCACAGCACTGGAGCAGCCTGGCTCGAGGTGCCGAGGAGCAGCCATCCATAAAGATGGGCAGGATGATGGCTCTGGGGAGGGACTGTGCTGTACAACACTGCTGAGGTCTGCTCTGCTCCAGGGATTTCCTTGGAGTCCTTCTTGCGTCTTTGAATCACATATTTCCGTGGAGTTTTTCTCAGGGGGATTGGGATAATGAGAACTGTGGAGTTGCAGGAATGTGCCTGTTTGTACCTGGGACAGTTTCCCTGCTCTGCCTTGTGCTGTGAACGTGGGGAGAGCAGGTATGGAGCAGATGTACCTGCCTTGCTCACAGGACCGTGACTGTGGGATAGGAGCAGGACTGGGGGCCTTGCTGCCTTGCCAAGGCCTGAGCAGTGACTTTTTGGACTCTGGGACGTGTCTCTGGCTTGCTCACATTGCAGTTGTGTTTAGGCCCAGGGGAGCTGTCACTGTGCCCGAGCACATCCCTCTGGTGTTTGCTGGCTGGCAAGCCCTGCATGTGCCTGTCACTGAAATGAGGGGCAGGAGAGCTGAAGGATTGCTTAGGAAAGGCATTTCTCTGACGAGACTGTTCCTCTGGAAAACCCAGGGTCAGCTGGTGCTGCCCTGTCAGGCTGGTGGTGTTCTGTGTCCCATGCTGTGTCCCAGGGCTGTGTTCTGTGCTGCCAGGCCGGTGGCAGAGGATGGCCCAGGGTCATCTCCCATGGCCTGTGTGCAGGCCAAGCCGGGGCTCCCCTTGGGTGGGATGATTCCTGTTTATCTTGTATTTCTGCGTTTTGATGTTTCCAGCCTCTCCCTCTCTTCCTGCTGGTTGTCTGTGTCCTGCCTGCTGGCTGCCCTGAGGGCTCTGCAGAGCGCTGGGGCCCTCCCAGCCGGTGCCTCACCCCTCCGGCAGCGCCCTGGGGTCAGGAGCCCTCACCTAATTTCTCCAGGGTGCTTCTCAGGTACTGCTCGAGTGGCTGAAGACATTTGTGCTGGCGGGAGCTTTCCTGGCAGCAGACTGGGGGTGGAAGGTTTCAGGAGCACACCTTCCCAGGAGAGTGGGAATGTCCGTCTGTCCTGTGGCCACTGGCATGGGGAGCTCTGTTCCTGCCCAGCCTCCCCTTGCCAGAGGCTGAAGCTGTGAGTGAGCAGAGCCCAGTTAATCATCCAGAACCAGCATCCCATGGTGGGGCAACATGGAGCCATCCTGGGAAACATGTGCTTCCCCCTTGGCAGGTGGCAGGGACAGGTTCTCCCTTTCACATCAGCTCCATCAGCAGCGACTCTGCACGTACGTGTACAGTGGCCCCCGAAGTCACGGCTCCCCACTCTCAGGAAGAGGCAGCCCTCACTCTCAGGCAGATTTCTGCTCTCTTTCCCATTTTTTTGAACTCCTGAGACAAGAGCAGGCGTTGGCAGGGGTTGCATAGCCATGCAAAAATGCTATGGAGCTGAGATCAGCCTTGTCTGTGTGGTATTTTACTTCCCCCTCTGTGGCTGTCGCCTCCCTTTCCTGCCCAAGACTTTCTGACTTCCACTTTGTGGGATTAAACCACAAGAAAGGAGTACTGGGAACCTTCTTTTCTTTATGAAATTCCTCCCTTGTTTCCTCACTCCTCAGCCCTGCTTTGGAGGAGGGTTGAGCATGATCCTCCCAGGCCTGAGAGTGCTGCTCCAATAAACTTTCTTCCTGTGCCAGCCTGGAGCCTGGAGGACCATGCAGTGGAGTCAGGCAGTTTCTCTTTCCTGGTGGGAATTCCTCTGAAATGAGGGAGACCTGGAGAGACATGCAGGGGGTCAGTCATGGTTATACCAGTCTCTGCTCACATACTGAACTGACTGTGTGAGGTCTTGTGGAAGTTGAGGAATCCTGTGAGGAGTTAACTCCATGGAGACTGATGGCTTCCTGGGGCCGAGCAAAAAGAGGCCTCCTGGAATGAGCTCATGTTCAAGGGAAGCAGAACTTCAAAGAGGGCAGGCTTGTTTACTTACTGCTGGTAACTTCATTCAGCTCTGATCTGTCTCTGCTGCTGGTCGCCAGTGGAGGTGGAGGAGTGCAGGGCTTCTCCCAGGCACAGCTTCTCTCAGGCTCCAGGGCTTCCCACTCCCACCAGTGTTTGCTTGGCTGGGCAGGGTGGGCAGGGTGCTAGTAGAGCTGGGGCTGGCCAGCCATGCCCAGGGGAGCTTTCCTGGGGGCACTCGAGTGTGTGTGAGGGGAGGAAAGGGAGGTCAGGTGGCGAGGAGGAGCAGCCTGGATGCCAGGTTGGTAATTCCACTGCTGCCTGCTGGCTGTGCAGCAGCCTGCTGGGAGAGCCTCTCCTGTCTGGATGCAGCACACCTTGGAGCTGGGGGTCCAACCCAGCACATGACCCAGGGGAAATGCAGCTCTGGGAGTGCCTCCTCACACGGTGGGTCCCGGTCATGTCTCCGCGTCAGCCTCGGGCCAGGGTTGGAGGTCAGCTCTGCTGGGCTGCAGAGCCAGGTGGAATGTGGAAGAGCTCATCCTGTGCATCCTCAGCTTCTCCACACCAGCCAAGCAACCACTGGGGGGAGGCAGGTCTCAAAAGGAGGGGCAGTTCTGTAGGTGTGCAGCAGACTTCCTCTGGCATCCCACTCACACCAGCAGGGCGTCCTGGGGTTGTCCACTGGCCAGGAATCCCCACTCCATTCCTCACATGTGGTGTACAGCATCTTACATGGCTTTTCATGCCTCTTACGCACGTGCTTTTTACCCTTAAACACATATCTGGGCTTTCAGGAATACGAGGTGAGGTGGACTCTCTGTTAAGCTGCAGCTGGAGGCTGGAGCTCTGCTCAGAGGGCAGGCTGGGCAGTCACAGCGACAGTGACAGCTGCTGCTCTTGCCTTGCTCTGGAGCTGCTCAGCACCTGGGAGGTCACCTTCAGAAATTACTTTTTTTTTACTGTTTCTGAAGAGCTGTTTGCGTGGTCATTCTTGCTGAGTCAGACACTCATCCTAGAGAAATACTGGCTGAGAAATATTTATCACAGCACAAAGACATAAAGCAGCTGAATTAAGGTTCATGGGGCATTGAAACCCTTCAAACTTCCTGCAGAGAGTTTGGGTTTTCTGTTGCAGAGTTTTAGAATTAGGGCAAAGCAGAGAATGATGTTTCCCCATCTTTAGATATTGCACCACACAAAAGCAAGGCCAGAATACACGGTGTGCACATTACTAACAACGTGGCTTTTTGTCAACAGAAGGCCCTGAAGGTGTGTTGGGTGGGGAAGGAGTTACCCACCCCTGCCATGTCTGTGTGCTTTCACACTGTGACCCAGCTGCCATCACAGCAGGTACATGCAGGAGGTGGCTGATGCTCCTCAAGCTCAGAGCTTCAAGGTTTAAATGTTGTGATGCACATAAAGAGTGCACAGGTGTGTGCACTGCAGCAGCGTGTGGTAGAACAGTGATCTGGGAGGAAAGCAGAGACTGAAGGAGTGTATGTCAGGCGTGGTGGGTTGTCCCGGGGGGCAGCTGAGCCCCCTCAGGGGGATGGGGGAGAGAATCAGAAGGGTAAAGGGGTGAGAACTGATGGGCCTGAGGTACAGACAGTTTACCAGGGGAAACAAAAGCTGTAGGTGCAGGGCCAAACAGGCTCTCAGTCACTGCTCCCCACTGCAGGCAGGGGCTCAGCACCCCCAGGACAGGCACTGGGGACAACAAACCCCACCACTCCATCCCCCTTCCTCCTCCTTCCCCCAGCTTCACATGCTGAGCGTGGGGCCCTGTGCTCTGGGATATCCCTTGGGCAGTGGGGTCCCAGCTGTGCCACCTCCCAGCTCCCTGTGCCCCCCCAGCCTGGCACTGCCCGTGAGGCCAGAGCAGAGCTTGGTTCTGTGCAGGGCTGGCCCAGCAGAGCTGAGCCGTGGTGAGTTGTGAGCCCTGACACAGCAGTCCCCGAGCTGTTAGTGCAGAGAATTAACTCAGCCCAGCCAGACCCAGTGCTTTTGGAAAACTTTTGCATGCATTTTATTTTTTCTAACCTTCGTGGTCCTTGAGGAGCCTGTGGACTCTTAAACGGGACAGAAACTATCCTGTTCTCAGGTCACTGCCGTAAGTGGAGCATGGACTGGGGAAGCTGCTTTGGAAAGTCCCTCTCCATTATGAGCACTACAGAAAATCAATATTTAGGATCGACCTAAAGAATAAGGATTATTGTTTAGTTACTTTAAATCATGGCTGGGGAGAAAGAGAGAGAGAGAGAGAGAGACTCACACAGAAATGGAGGTGCTGCTGCTGAGCTTCAGGGAAACAACTGTGAAGGAAATAACTGTGATAAAAATCAGTGAGAAGAAAGAAGAAAGAGATAAGAGGCTGGTTAATGATTGTAGTTTCTGGGGCCACCTGCCCTCAGCTGGGAGGTGGGATGATGAAAATCCCCCTCAGCCAAGGCATGGCTTATAGAGAAATGTGTCTGCCTCTGTAATTCATGGGAAATGGGGGGTTCACAACCCATCACAGGGTAGAGGAAAGTTCAGTTCTTTGTAGTCAGGGAAGCACACTTTGGAAGAGGATCCATGAGAAGTTTTTTTCCTTTCTGAAGTGGTTTGTGGGATGGAGAGTTGTGAGCACCTGGGGGAAGAGAAGGCAAAGCAAGGTCTTCTCAGGTACCTCTGTGAGGCAGCTTCCAGCTCTGAGCTCTTCACCTGAGGAGATGGGGCACTGGAGGGTCTGTCTCTGCCAGGTAAAGGCACAGGGCTGGGAAAAGGGCCTGGGCAGGCGGGATGGGGGCTTTCTGTGACCTGTGATTGTGGGCACAGGCAGCTGAGAATTTCTGCAAGATCTGGGTCTTTGCACAAGAAAGCAGATAGGGCTCTTATTTAAACACCAGCTTTAAATTT